ATTCCTATGAATTCTTAATTATATCTTGACCAATTTCACATGTAAAGAGTTGATTATGAATGAAAAACAAGAATTTCAAAGGAATGAAGATGATTTTTGGAGAGGGAATTGATAAAAAAAGAAGAAGAAGAGAATTTAGGGTTATGTCTCGATAGGGTTCATTGTTTTAGAATGTGGGTCCCATCGATTAGGTTTTTTTTTTTTTTTTGTGTGCAAGGGAGAGTGATATGGAGGGGTGTTATTAAATCCACATAAGCGCCTTTACATGATGGAATATCCATGTCAAATGTTCCCATTAAGATAACGTGCCATGTGAGCAAAAATTAACAAAGGGATAAAAAAATGGTTGGATTTTAAACTTTAAGGACCAAAAAGGAGATGTTTTTCAGTACAAGGACCAGAAAGGTGTCTTTTTCAATAGTAGAGGGACCAAAAAGGGTATTTAACCTTGTAATAAATTATAATATAAGTTTTAATTTTAAATGAAGTACTTGTGAGTAACTTGTAAGTAGCTATGTAAGCTCTGGCTCTAGCTCAAGCTCATTTCTTTATCCAATTCAAGTCGTTTATCAAATAAATCAAGTTCAAGTCGAGTTTACTTACCAAATAAATCAAGTTTAAGTTGAGTTTAACTCAAGTAACACACGAGTTACTTTAGAGTTATCCTACTTTGTTACGTCTTAGAACTGGGAATGAAACAGATGCCGTACACTTGTGAGAGAATTTCACAAGTGCACAAGGCTCATAATCTGTTTAATTTATATTTAGCAATCCACTAAAATAAGATCCAAATCTTGAAATAACTTCTAGCTTGTTTTATAATCCAAGCTTTACTAGCCTAAGAGTGCACGAAAATTACTACAATTCTTTGTCCAAAAATAATTAGACTAGTGGCTTAACTCCAAAATAATCTAAATTCAAAATACAAGTGACTAGCCTTCTAGCTCATTTCTCCCCTTAGTTTCTTGCGTCCTTGGTCTCGCAACCTAAAATGGTGGATGAGGAAAAATTATGTGAGACCACTTAGTAAATAAAAATATAGACAGCCCTCATTAAAGTTAAGGCATGCTAGATAAACAATTTAAAACATAAATTGAAGGAAAATCTTAGTTATAAACAATTAATGCGGAGTAAAACTCAATAGTTGTCTCCTCAATTAGTCATGGCCAGTGTTTGACAAACTCCCATTGGCAAGCATCAAGAATAACCACTATACTATCCCACAGGTAGGAATAACAGGAATACAAAATGAATCAGTCTTACAGATATACATGTCGACATGTGCCAGCGTTTATAACTCTCACTGGCGGGCTTCAGGAATCATGATCATATTGGAGACAAAACCATATATAAGTTAACAGGAAAATCCATAATTTACAAACCAATTTCAAATCATCAGTATAATCAAGTAAAATCCATGTAGGCATGCTCAACTCAATAAACATAATAACAACTTCATTTCAAACCAGTCATACTCACGTGCTAATAAAAAATCAGTTTAGGTCTCACCACTATCTTAAAGATAGTTTAAAATATGCATTTAAAACCTTTACCTTAAAATCCAAGGGCATTTACCATAGTTTTGCTTAACTCGCTTTGTAGGTATATAACAAGTAAAGAATTCAAAGAATTCAAGAACTCAAGGCTGTTGAGGTGATTTAGAATCTATACCATATCAAGTCAATAAACAAGATTACAACATACCCCATTTAACTAAATTGGTTTTTAATCCCAGTATCAAGTTTCTAACCAAGAAACAATTTCTTCCTACACATCTTTGCCACTTCTACTCATTAAAACCTTACTATATATTAATATGTATAATCATACTTAAATATGCTTAAAACAGCTCTAAAAAGACACTACATATGGTAGAATTACCAAGCAGATTTGCTGGACAAAAATAAACTAGAAAAATGTGAGAAATTGAGCTCAAAATTATCCTAGAAACCAATAGAAAATTTGGGCAACAAGGTGGGGGTTTCTGCCATTTAAAATAGTCCCTAAAGGCTTGGAAAAAGCCTTGAACAACAAGGATTTTTCGAGCAAAAGCAATAAGGATTTCTAGACAAAAACAGTAGCAAAACAGTGTAGAATACAAGCCAAAACTGAGCAGAAATGGATAGTATTTAAGCAAAAAAAGGCCTTAGCAAAAGGTAGCCAAAACAATAGAAATTTTCAAGACAAAATAGCACAATTTAAGTAAGAAAAACATGTGATTCAAGAAAGGTTTCAGTGGAAAGAGCTGAGGTTAACAAAGCAAGATTTCGGTAGTAAAATAAAGCAATAACAAGGGGTTTTAGAGTAGGAATATAGTAGCTAAAAGTCTAGTAAAGCCACGATGCAATGTGGTAGTAGGTATTGTGGGAATAGAGCATAAATCAGAGCAAATTTCTAGGCACTTTTGAAGGCAAGTTCTGGTCAAATTCTGGACCGAAACTTCCAATAGGATTCATACCTAGAAATTGACCAATCTAAGCTAAATGGTTAACAAATAAATTGTAGCCATATAGCTTAACATTC